AAAAATAGAACAGAAAAATAGGCAACTTACATAAGATTCCGTAAGAGCAGTCAGGTCTGAACGCATCTTCCTCGCTAGCCAGATAGAGCGGCTACACAGGTCCCGGCGGTGAGGGGTCAGCAGGGAGTGCTCTGCGAAAGCCATCCCCTAGCTCAGCCGTCCCAGGAAACGAGTGAGCTGGGCTTGCTTCTGTTTACACTGGTCCAGATAACAAATGTGACTCTCAGACTAAAACCACTGGGCATTCTCTACTAGTGGAATTGTACAAACTCCCCACCCCCACCCCCCGCCTGACTCAGAGGTGGCAGCAAATTCCTGGCTGTGGAATTTTGTGCCTGTGGAATCAAAGGCCCCTATTTAATCAGCTTTTTCCCACTGCAGCATCTGCCTCCATCTCTCTCCTCCACCGAGTGCCTAGCGTACTTGTTTTTATATCATTGTTTTGCTTTTGCACTTAGCAACAAGGTCACTATCACACTAATAATCCTCATGACACCCCTGCCTAATTGCTATCTATTTTATACACACAGATAATCATTTTATTTTCACCCTTCCTTGTGTTCCCTATGTCCTTCCACTTTTTTCTTTTGGCTTGGTATTCAGCATTACTTTATTGATATAGCTATTGTTTATGAAGTACCTACTATGGGCCAGACACTGTGCTAAAGGCTTTAAAGCCTTTATTTACTCTTCAGAATAATTCTGAGATAAATATTATTTCTCCCATCTTAAGAAGAAATTGAGGTTAGAGGAATTAATGTGCACAAAATCTAATAACGAGGCTCAAAATGTAAATATAGGTCTTTGTTTCTCTCACTGACTTTCCAATTCTATTCTCTAGGTAGTTCACATTTTGTTCAATAAACAATGTTTATGTGAGAGAGATCCTTTAAGAATATAGCCTCTTTTTACTCCCATCCTTCTGCTATGTTTTAAAAGTTAAATTGACAATTAAAAATCAGCTAAGAAAGCATCTCTAGTCTCAATCACGGTGCCTTCCTTGGAACTGCTACAAGAGGAGGAAGGGACTGTTTAGGCCTGCTCTTTTCCCAAGGACAGGAAACACCCAACACTGACCTGGTAACATTTCTAAGGCAGTCTCACTCAAGTGACAACATGCTTTTCTTTCTTCCTTATCGGTCGTACCACATGTTTAACGAAATAGGAGAATGAGTTAGGCTTTCAAATGAGGGCAAAAGAGTTTAAAAGCTCTTAAGAGAATTGCTCCTCTGTCATATGAACGCAGCAGGTTAGAGCAGCGGTCCCCAACCTTTTTGGCTCCTATGAGAATCTAGTCTGATGATCTGAGGTGGAGCTGAGGTGGTGATGCTGGCGCTGGGGAGCGGTTTCCAATATAGATGAAGCTTCGCTGGCTGGCCCGCTGCTTACCTCCTGCTGGGCAGTCTGGTTCCTAACAGGCCATGGACTGGTGGTACCGATCTGTGGCCTGGGGGTTGGAGACCCTTGGCGGTCTGGTTCCTAACAGGCCATGGACTGGTACCGATCTGTGGCCTGGGGGTTGGAGACCCTTTGGGTTAGAAGATGATGCTAATTGGGTTAAGAGTTGCAAGTTTCATCCTCAAATGAATCGATTAGCTTTCACTATTTCATATGACAGACATTACCTCTGAAGTGAAACACATCTTTTCAGGGGCAAAGGGAGAAAGAAACGAGGCCTGGCCGGCTGTCACAGCAAGGCTTCTAAGAAAGTAGAAGGATTCTGTCTTCTTTTTAAAAAAGTCAGTACTTGACATACACTGAGTTTTGTGAAGCAGCACTGATATTAAATGCTAGCAAGGTTTTGCCATTATCAGAGTGAAATTAACCTCACGGCATCCCTGACGTTCTTGTTACTAGATAAATATGGCCACATTTCCTAGGGGAAGGCTGTTGTTGAAACATGGGTTTTCCAAGTTTGCCATAAGATCACAGGATCATACAGCACCTCGGCATTAGAAATCAAGAACCTTACAGTCAAGTCAACCACCTGATTCTCAGCAGGAGTGAACAGTGTCTGCCACGAATCCTGCTGAGGGCACGTGGTTTTCTTGTTTAGCAGCATCGGTGTTTTCGCCCTGGGACAACTGTAACTCAGTACAACCAAGGAAGACCCGTTGCTTCCATAAAGACAATTTTATTTTTCTTCTTTACATATTTATTTTGGATATGCCTTATCTAGATTAAGAGAAAACAAGGATTTGAAAAGCAGAGTATCCCTTTTATTATAATTTCTTTTTACATAACCTTTTCAACCTAGATTCAGGTAACTACCTGTCTCTCCCATCATAGGAGAAGGGTCCTGCACATTACAATAGGCAAAAAGGCTTTTAGGAAATAAAATATTTTAAATTGATCCATTACAATTTTTCAATTTTCTTGAGTACATTGGAAAGTGGGGGAAAAGACAGGAAGGAAAAATGGTTTTCCAAACAACCAGACTGTAACATCCTCTAGGTTTAATACACTCTTTATATTTTTTCTCCAAACAGGTACAAAGGAGGTTCAAGTGCTCTATGTGGATGCTTTTCCATACCTTAATATATATATTTTTTTACTCCCAGTAATCCTGGCCAGTGTTAAATCTAAACTCTCTGAAGCACATTAAGTCTCAATTATGCAAAATAACCCTGGGCAAACACAAACAAGGGGGAAGCATAGAAATAATGCTTATATCTCAACTACATTTTCAGAATCTAGAATTGCCAATTCGAGATGGGGAACATGCGGTGGGGAGAAAAGGTTACAGAATGTGATTAAGAATCGGAAATTTAGAATTTTAAGATTAAAAGAGCTTCTCGGAAGGACAATGAAGTAAACAGCACGAGGAGCGTAAAGAAATAAGGGAAGAGGGCCCAGTATAAGTCGGTTTATTATCAACTCCATCTTATGCTAGCATCCCTTTCTCGAAAGGAAAAAGATAAAAGTCCATAAAAAATATTTCAAAAGGTACTGCAAACTGCTATGATAATTTGTTGAAGCAAATTGCAGGCAATTGGTAGCTACGAAGAGGACCCCCACCCACCCAAAAAAAAAAAAAAAAAAAAAAGGAAAAGAAAGGAGAAAGAACATAAAGTTTCTATTAGAACTAACTAGTTGCTTTTGGTGGGGAGAGGAGTGTGAGATAGGAAAGAACACATTTTCCTTCTATCTCATAAAAAAATTTAATGCAGTTTGCTTTTATGTAGGTGGCTAAAATATCTGATGACTAACCACTAAAATGTAATTTATGGACACTAAGGATAAAATAAATGTGACAAAGACAATGTGGAGAATAGATGCTAGCTAGTGAAACAGAACAAAATGGACTTACATGGGAGGTGAACAACTTTGTTGTGGGCCCACCCAATAAATCTTATATTTCCAAATCTACTCAACATACCAAAGTCAACTCCAAATCCTTACTGTGGGCAGGAAAGCATATTCTATATCCCTTCTATCCTTATTCCATTTTCTACCCCCACAATGGAGGGTTGGCAGGTCTGCAACATTCTGAAAAGAAACAATAGTGCATTCAAGACTGCGCACTGTAGGTGTTTCACTCCCTATTCCCTGGCATCCCAACCGCTGACACCAGTGGGTGTCAAGTAAGCCTCTTTCAGAGATGACATTTTGTTACCCCTCTTTTTGGGAAAAAAACAAAAGAGAAAATTGATAAACTTTGTAGTTTTAGTGTTTGTGAAAAACAAGCTGTTCCTTATTTTGTTCTCAGCAAAACTTCATTCTTTCCAACAGCATCGCACATTTCTGACAAACAATGAACAGGGCAGGCCTTGAATTCTTGCTTCTGAGGTACACAGGAGGCTAGACATTGCCCTGATAATTCCCTAAAAATGAGCCAGAATAGGTTTTTAGTCTTCTAGGAGTTACAAACTCGTATAAAACCACTACCTGTCTCTCCCGTGGACAGCGATAAGCAATCCACATGATGAAAATCCTTATTGCAAGGGAAGTGGTAATTCCCAGAATTTCAGGTGAAAGCCAAAGCCATTACCATACAGACCATTAGCTTTGTCTATTGAAGCCTTTCCTCTTCTGAAGTGACATTAAAAAGGAAACAAAATAGAGCAATTTTCTTTGACTTAAACCTGTACGACTCACAGACTATTCCTTCACTAATGGCAGTGTCCTTCACTCATCGGGTGCTACAATGAACCAATGACAATGATAAAGCAAAGCAAAAACAACGACGACGACAAAGCAAGGGGCCAGCGTTGGGCCAATAGGGAGGTATGTGTAAGGAAATGATGGGGACAAAACAAAATCAAATCTGCAAGAGAAAATCTGTTATCTATAATTCAGACCCTGAACAACCTTCTTCATCCCCTCAAAATTCCTAAGTCTCAATGCTCTAAAAACTCACAGAGCACTAATTACGACAAACCTAACATTATTCCCTAAAAATTAGGCTTCCGAAAAAGCACTAACCTACTGTAGTGATTTTATTAGTGCTGAGGACCAGCTTAAAGGCCACTGGAGAGCTATGATTTGAGGCTGGCTGTGCTTCTTCAACCCTCTATCTTGCCTTCAATAGTACCTCTTATGGAAAGGACCCCATGTCAGAATAATCTACTCTCTCCCAGCCCCACACAATATAGCAAAAAGACAAAAAAAAAAAAAAAAAAATCAGATTTTCCGTTAATAAATAAGGAATCTCAGGTTCCACAACACAAAAACACACATGTTCAAAGTGCAAATTTCTGCCATTAGTCTGGGACTTTACTCACTGTCTCACTGATACACAGCCCTGTCCTATGGTCAAAGAGACCACGCAGAGGGCAGTCCCCTCCCTCTCGGGAGCCTGCTTCAAAGCAAGCGAGCACCACTGAGAACCATATGGACGTGTTAGGAGGGGGACTGAGCTGCTGGGATCAGAGAGGAGGGAAGTGGTCCCCAGGTATCCTTCCTTTCCGAAACCCAGTGGGGAATGGAGGAAAAGGGATGAGAGATGTGTGCTGTTTTAACAGCTCACCCTAAGGGGCCCTAAAGTGCCAAGTCAAGCTGCCAGCCTCTAGAGATTAGAATTATAGGATACGTTAGGGGACAGTGTTGCAATGGGTAAGCCAGAACCACAGGGCAGCAGGAAAGGAGGACGGGATCAGAGGACAGTAACACACCATTAGAGTTAAAAGCTGACCCGGAGCACATCAGAGTTACAGGCTGGAGAAGGGGATCTGCTGACGAGCAGGAAGTCCGCCTGGCTGGAAGTGAGCATGAGGATGACCCTCACTTTAATAAGAGCTTCTTATTTTTTGTCTGCCTTCTGGTAAAGGCAACATCGATTTTATAAAGGGGACAAGAGAGGGAGAAGGGGTGGGTGTATGTGTGTGTGCTGTGATCCACAATGGAAAGAGCAGGCCCTTCGGTTATTTTACTAGATTTTAAATGCTTAAAATTTTTTTTTGTCCTTTTTATCTTTTAAGTACAAAGTCTGAGCTGTCCCAGTGCCCCAAATCTTCCCTGCTACTAAGGTCCAGTAGAGTCTGAATCTTCAATCAGAACCTCTGTGGTAGCACCGAGTATATCCGAGTTCATGACCAGCCCTTCAGTGCCGCCACTGCTGCCACCAGCCACAAAGATCTTCCCATCAGCCATCAGGCTCACCCGCTCCGTCCCACTGCAGTACGACTTTGACACGCCTTCTGCCTCTAGCAGGAGGCACTCTCCAGAGGTGGAGTTTCCCAAGGGCTCAGGAAGAAGAGGAAGCCCCTGACCGTCTGCAGGTTGTGTCAGGGACTCTGGGTTAGTGCCCAAGATATCTGTGCTGGTGATGAGGGCGCCTGCATTGGCAGCCAGAGCTTCGGCGATCAGCACCTCAGGGTGGCTTTTTGCTTTGTGAGCCACTACACTGTCCTTCTTCTCAAATTTTTTGCCACAGATATTGCAAGAGAACTGGTAGAAGGAGTCTGCGTCATGCTTCTTCATGTGCCAATTAAGGGATGCCTTTTGCCGACAGGTGAATCCACAGATCTCGCATCTAAGGAGAGTGGAAGAGGAAATGGCTGATCACACAGAGAAATAAAAGCTCTCAATTCAGAGTCAGGGTGGGAATGCAGAGATCACATTTATAAGCAACAGTCAGTAGCATATACTTCTTGTGAAAGATCAGGAAAAAGTACTAGATGAACACTAATCTGATTTCTTCTGTTTGTCTGAAAGATAGAAAAAGGTCACTAAGTAGTTCCCCCGACAACACCCACTTTAATCTGATATATAAAAAAAAAGAATAGTGGCAGCTGAAATGTTTGTAAAGGAGCCAACCCTCAGGTGGGGTACAAGTACTTCTCAGCCAGATGTTCACCAGTAAATAAATACTCACTGTAATGGCTTCTCGCCAGTATGAATCATCCGATGCACTGCCAGATTGTGAGAACTCTTGAAGGCCCGAGCGCAGTATTCACAAATATAATCCCTTTGATCTAAGAAAAGTAATGTGGTTAGTGTTCCATTTAGAATCCCTCTAAGAATTTTTCTTCCTGGTGTACGATAAGCAAGCAGACGATCAAGCAGGTCAATGCAGAGTAAAAGCAACACAGTGTTCAATGTATAAACCCTTGGGTAAACAAAATTTTTAAAAGAAATATATAGTTTTCATCTTTTTCTTTAAACCAATACATTCAGTAGCATGAGGACCTGTTCAAACAAACAAACAAGGAAACAAAAAAAACCTAGATAGAAATATGAGAACTGAAGTCATAATCTCAATTTTATCAGTAATCCAGATCTTAGATGAACTGCTTAGCAAGTAAACAACTACATTTTCCATAGATTTTATTCTTTAAAAGTTTTTCACACACTGTGAAAGCTGAATGCTTTTGTATAAAGAATTTGGCCTTCAAACAACAACGACAGACCAAAAGAACCACCACCGTGAGCAAAGAATTTGGCATTCCCCAGAAGAAAAGTAATCCACATCTAAAGTGGTAATCATCTACTTTAGGTTTAAAAAAATGTTACACGAGAGAAACAATTTACATTTCTCTCAAAAGATGCAAGTTGCTGCTATCAAATACATCTCACCGTACCTGTATCTACCTCATTCTCCTACCCCGTATCTTCTACACCATTCAACTACCTCCCTCTGTCATTTCACAGGCCCCCCCAATTTCACAGGATTTTTGATGAATCTGTTAATAGAGTATGGAACCTATGAGGCAAAGGAGTATTGGACTTAATTATTTCTTCATCACTTGGTTCACAAGAGAGTAGACAAACAGACGCTCAATATTGTTTGTTGAGGGAATGACACTGTATTTTCTATGCCTTACACTTAAGATTACCACAAAGAGTGAAAACACGAGGATAAGTTAAAAGGCAAACAGTAACGAATTCAATCCTATACTTTATCCCAAACAGTTTTAAAACAAAGTGTGGGGAAACAGGTTTTTCTCAAGCTTGAATATACTTGGGAATCACCTGGGATCTAATTAAATGCAGATACTGATCCGGCAGGTCTGAGGCAGGGCCTGATGCTCTGTATCTAACAAGAGCTCAAGTGATGCCAGTGCTTGTTGGTCTGTGCTCTATAGGACGAGTAGCAAGCTCTAAAAACGCACACTCCTAACCCAGGGGGCCCCGCATTATTTCCTGGGTCTTGTCTACTTTTTCAGCTCCACAGTGGCATCATGGCAAACTGGTGGGGTATCCATTTGCTTAAATAAATTGTATTTTCAAAGGAAGTCCACATATACTAATTTGGAAAAGGAAAACTCACAACACTGACATAACACTGTATTAACCAAATATTAATATTTGGAATTAACTAAATTTCTAAAAGTGACTTTGTCATCGTAGACTTACGACATTTAGCTAGAATAGTCTAAAAACTGGTTGTCAGAAAGTACTTTTCTACAGGATAAAATAGTTTAACAGGAAGAAAAAAATGTGGAGAAATGGCAGCACCTAGCAAGAAGCAGCGCAGCCAGCATTGTCTCTGAAAAAACGTAACGTAATTCAAACACTGTAGACTTTGGAATAATTAAGACTGGTATTTTGAAGGTCTACCACATGCCAGGCCCTGTGCAATCATTAGCACTTTCTATGTTATCTCATTTCCTTTTTATAATAACCCATCATACTGGTTTCATTATTATTCTTGATTTGCCTTAGTCACACATACAGTAAATGATGCAAAGGGGACATATATCAGTATGATCTTGGGCAAGAGACATGAATGGCACCTCTGCAACTGGAATTCCCAGCCTCACCTTCTACGACTTGAGAAAGTAACATGTAATAATCAAGTGTCCAGCATATCTTTGACTAGCTCTCACATCCAGCCAAATTCTTCCCATTAGCTACACTGCACCGAGATTATCAGTAGCTAAAAATGAGTGGAATTTGAATTTACTTTATAATGTGTATAACCGAGACATTCAGTTTCTCTTTTTGAGTCAAACAGCTCCTACATGAGGTTACATGTGAATTCAATAGCAGCAGAAGTCCCAGGAGCTCTTCAGTAGTTACCATAAACTACAAGCAAACCTCTCTACCACTTAGGCTCTCTCTTCATAATCTTCACTTTTAAACCATAAGAGCTACTACAAGCATCTACCTGAATTGGAATTAAAAAATCCTGCTTTTGCTAAAAACTAGTTGTGTGAACACAAGTAAATTATTTAATGTTGCTAAGCTTCTGGTTTCTTGGATGTAAAACAAGGCCAATACAAGCAAACCTGGTGAGGCTGAATGGATGGCTAAGTAACAATATATGTAAAGTGTCTGGTCCACAGTCGATACAGAGTGTGTACTCAAAAAAAGACCATTAGCAATGTCATGGAAGTTCATCTCAAAGAAGTCAAAGGAAAACAATTAAAAGCCCTAGTTTATTCATCTCCTGTAAAATTTGTTTTATTACATTTTTTCCCACCTTTCTCCCACACTTGACTGTAGATTCTTTTAAGATTTCTGTTAGAAAAAAATATCATTACCAATCTACACTTAAAAGTGCAGTGTATTTAGCTACTTGATAAACATTTTTTTAAAAAAGTACCGGTATGATGTTTGGCGTGTCGCAGAAGTTGCTTCTGGAGCCTGAAGAGTCGCCCACAGGAGGGATGGGGACATACATATTTCTTCTTCAGCAAATGCTGATATTTAATGTGGTGCTAAACAGTAAAAGAAAGTGAAAAAGGATAAAAATTAAGGCTTCCTGAATGCTTGTTCCTTTGCTAAGTTAAAAGCACTGAAGGACAATCAAGTACTTTGTATAAGGATAGGGGGAGGCAGTACAATCAAGAGGTTAACAACATCGGCTGTGGCAACAGGCTTGGATTCCAATCTGGGTTTGCTGTTTACTAGCAGTGTGAAATCAGATGATATATACTTAAACACTGCAAACTCCAGTTCTCATTTGTAAAATGGAGATCATGATAACTGTCTTACAGTGTTCTTGTGGGGATCTAGAGATTACATATTGTATGGTGCTTAGTGCAGCAAATGGCACATAGCAAAAGAATACTAGCTAACGTTAGTATAACAGAGCCAGAAATCAGACCTTAATCTCATGTTATACTTGCTGCTAAACTGAAGATCAAACAGGCATTTTTTAAGCTTTAGTAATTAGTATTTCACTTTCATGTTTTCTGCCAGACCTAATGTAAGTTGTATCTTTATTCACGTTAAAAAAAAAAAATCTACACACTTAAAACCTACAAACTAAAATTTTTAAATTTATTATAAACAATATTCAATAAATCACTGGTTTGAGTTACTAATTTTATTTTTAAAAAGTACACATTAAAATAAAATCTGTTCATCTGTGTTTTGGAATGTCGTTACAATCATCTCTTATATCAGAAGTACTTACACCACGATGGGAAACACTGGAATTTTCCAAGATTCCAAGGAAATTCTCCATTTGGGCTCACGTTGTTAAACACCTTTTTTTTTTTTAATGCGATGACTGAAGTAATTTTACATTGAAAGATTTTCTTAACATTGCATGCCAATGATAAAGCCTACACAAGTTCATAAATTATAATTTGTGAACTATGAGAGCTAGTAATGGAGCGTGACCTGAAAGGCTGCCTTACATAACAACTTCACTGACCTGCAAATAACGAGGGTGAGCAAGAACAGTTCCACATCCTTCCATCTCACAACGAACATATTGGATTGGAGGTTTTTTTCTATTATCAATATGGAGGAGAAAAGTTAGCAAAAGAGGCAGTCTGTTGCCTTTCACTGAAAGTGCACTATTAGAGAATAGTAAGTTTATAGTATGAAGAATTAAAACCTCTTTACTAGTATATAGCTTGCATAGAATTTAGAAGTAACCAGAAATTGCCAAATGTTTAATAATGTTTATAAAAAACAAAGCAAAATAAACCAGCAACCCCCCCCAAAAGGTAAAGAACTATTAAGATTTTTAGAAACTTTAAGATCCTGCAGTGGAAATAAAAATATAGTAACGCTGAATCAAGAACATTAGTGAAACTGCTTTTGTGAAATTTTTAAATAGCCATTCCTGCAAGATTATTATGACTAAATATGTGAGTCAACTACCTACCACCAGAAAAAAGATACAACATAGTAGGAGTATAAATTCTCACCTTCTTTTGGGTAATCGTGGACTTTTGTCATCTTTTCGTCTTCTTCCTCTCCTATAATTAAAACAGAATAAATAAACTGCCCACATATTCCAGACTGAAGCTTGAGTGAAGTATTGCTGTAAACAATACTCAAGACCAAAGCACAGGTGGCAGAAACAAAGGGCAACGCAGAATACATAAAGTCACAGACATATCTTGCAACCAAAGATTTCACTCTGAAGTTAATTTCACTTTCAAGTAAGTCTGTATCACAAGTTAATATACATCTTCCATAAACTATATAATACTATGGAAGATGTGGATAAACCTCAAGGTTACTATTTGAAGAGCTGTTTCAGTGAAAAGTCTATCATTTAAATTTTGTCAATTTAAAAAGTAGAGTAAAAAGAGTGTATCACCTAAAACCCCCCAAAATATAAACTATACTCTCCTTGCGATAGGACCAAAAAGCCTAAACACTTGAAAAAATCTTATTTCTGCAACAGGAAATTGTTGCCAGATAGAAAATTTTTACCTGGTCAAGGTTATTACGTCATTTACCTTCTGGCCCTTCTTTCGAAGGTCAACATTTGCCACACTTTTTCTTGCTGTTCTATTCTCTGCATCCCTATACCCACTATCTTACCCACTCGTTTGTATGTCTTTTAAGTATTGCTTTGGATTAAACTTTTCAAACGTTTGAGAAGAGTCTCTGCAATAAAACTGTCAGCTGCTTGGGGCAGCAATATGTACGTGTCAACATCCCTACTCATACTCCCACACCCTGTGTTCCACTAGAGAAATCTGTTAGGTTTCCATTTTAATAGCAATTGCCCACTCACTTCCTAGGAGGTTCCTCATCCTCCCTAATTTCATTCTCTTCTTCTTTCACCTCTACCTCTACTTCCACTTTAATTTCTTTCTTCTCTTTCTCTTCTTTCACCTTCCCTGATTTTCTCCGTGGCTTTGGGGTTTCCCTGAAAACACAAATACATTTCAACATTGTTAACTAGCAGAGGATCTTTTCAAGGAAAACTGACAAGGTAAAGCCTAGTGTTACCACTGATTTATTGTAAAATTATGGTCCGCAGCTCATGAAATGTGATTTCCAGACAACCATTCCTCATATGGACAGTAATAAGTATTTAAAACCTATGGGGTGACTCCCCAGGCTAATGATGCTCTAGAAGGAAATCTCACTATAGTTGTAAAGAAAAACAAGGTAAAAATAGAAAATTCTAAGTATTCAGGCAATTCATGATATCTTATCATAATAAAACATGCAGACATCATAATGATATGGAAATGATCAAAATAAATGGAAGAAAGGGCTGTACAAGGGGGTAATAAGATAATGTTAGATTTGCAAAATTAGTGCATAACTAATTATCCATTTAAAATTAAGACTATACCCATTAGTTTGGCAATATGGCAAGAAAAAAGCGTGGCAACAGTTACTTCCTAACTCATTTTTCACTGACATATCTAGAGTAAAATGAAACATGCCTTTCTAAATGGGGTTTGTAGGTCTCATCTCTTGGGTCATCTTTGAATGGTATTTCCTCTTCACTGATTAACATCTCTTCTTCCTCCTCCTCCTCATCACTACTAAAAAGAAGCAAATAAAAATTAGAAATTCTAATGTAAGGATTATATCTAAGAAAATTCGATTTCCTAATTTTAATATATGTGCTGCCAAAGAGAGCACTGGATTTTATTTGGTAATTTTTTTAGAGATAGCCAAAGAGTCACAAGAAGTTATCTAGACTTTTTATACTTAGTCTAATTGAATTGCAATCCAGCTCCTTCATCCTGAAGACCTAGAACTGAAAATCCTAGATATGCTATCACTTCATTAAATAAGGTAATGACTACTCAATGCATGAAGAGTTAAAAATCAATCGACTCTATAATACCACATCTAGTAATCTGCTGTATCAAAAAAGATCCATCCACACACAGAAAAAAAAAATTCACATGACTTATCACTCAAGATACTGATAAAATTTCAATACCCTGGTCTAAAACACTCACATTTCATATTACTGCCTAGCATGGAATAAGCCAGAACACAGAAGATACTCAAGACAATTTCTAAACTACATAACTAAAGGTTACATGGTTAAAACTGTCATTAAGAACAAAGCAAAACCTAAACTGAATACCAAAACTGAAGTTAATTTCTGTTACAGCTCAAAATACGTTCAAGTAGAAAACAACTTTGAATTGTTTAATATGATTGTACTCTAGGTCCCCAAGGGTTTAAGTATGAAAAGCTCCTTACCTAATGCCACCTGGAGATT